AATGCGCAATGACCGCCATTCCAGCCCTTCATCGTTTACTCAGTCCTTTGAATACTGACGCATTTGCGATGCCCACTTCTGTGTCACCCGCCCCCGGAATGAGCCACGTGTAGTATGTGGCCACTGGAGGATGTGCTCGTCCATGAACAATGGGCATTAACCGGGGCTTATTGGGAGGCCCACCACTGAGGGACTGCAACTTGTTGCCTTGCCCTCCAGAAGAAATATGTTAATTGTGCTCGTGTGTTTTCGTCCTCGTCTGGTTTGGCCGGATATTTATGAAGTTATTAAGTGCGGACTTTTTGGGGCCATGGAACCGCTGGCAAAATCATGATGGCAGCAGATCCGAGAGGCCTGTTCTTCAATAATTAATTTGAAATTTACATAATAAAAATCTGTCGGCCGCAGTAGCCATTTATCCAACGGCTCAATTTGTGGCCAAGTTAAATATTTAGTTTAAGATTTTCCTCGCCACGACCACGAAATATTGCGCTGCAACTTTATAGCCAGCAAGCAATTACCAGCAATCTGTGGTAGCTCCTGGTGGGCGTGGGTGGTGTGGGTGGTGTGGCCATTGTCTTTGGGCGACAATCCATAAAAACAAACTGTTAACAGTTGGTGCTCGGGCATTGATTGACCAGACAAGTGCAAGCAATGGAGCTCCAGCGAAGAGCTCAAAGTCAGTATCCACATCCACATCTACGGCACCATCTCCATCAGATTCAGTTCCCTAGATCTCACATCAGATGCTGCAATTCCCATGGACGTGACACGGTGGAACCGAAGCTCCCCTATCCCGAGCCAGGGGAAATATTGAAGTTATTATCACCCTACGCGATAAACATAATAATAAAGCAGAATAACTTTCTCCACACGGAGGAAAAGTGTCGCCAAAATAGGTCATTAAATTGGTAGTTCCTTGCAAAGTTTAAGGATAGTAAATAAATTTAAAAAAAATACACTTTATAGTTAAATTTACTATAAATAAATAGTAATTTGGGTTTTAGAACAGAACTTGCAGAGGTAGTATATTCCTAAAGAACTTAAAAGCCTTTGAATAACAAATTAAAGGACTACCGTTATAAATAAATATTTTTTCTGAATTTAAAATTCAATTTAAATTTAAAAGCCCTCTAACAACACACTTCATAGATAGATATAGATAGACATATTTTTTCCGGATTCAAATCTTTATAATGTAATATAAAACTGGGACTTAAAGCTGAAATCTCGTTTTTCTTGGTGCATTGACTTTCAAAATCAGTTGCACATATACCAAATCATTTTGGAGTGGTTTTGGAACCACTGTGCCACATCCTGTCTGCCATGAATGATGCGCCCTTTCCTGCCAGCACATTAAGCTCCGGCCAGTTGCATCTATTCCACACATTGATAGACAATGTTTGCGCTCTGATTTATACTCAGCCAGCTATTAAATAAGAATTTTTGTTATTATGCTGCCCAGCGGGATTTTATTATGTGACTTTCAAAAGCCCCGGCCAACTTGTTGTGGCTTTGGCTTAAAGTCGCGCCAAGGAGAAAATTGTTTTTTAAGAACTTTTAAAGACGACAATGTGTGCTGGCTTTATCAGTTGAAAGCGCGGGGCCATTATGCGCGGCTCACGCGGCGTATGGGTAACCTTATATCTACGAATAATTCTTAGACGTGCATTTCGTTTTACAGCCGCCTTGTCGGTAATCCCATTAAGGAGTTATCTGGCGAAACATTTCTGCACAACACTCGACTGGAGGCACTGTGAGTATACTCGGAAAAATATCCTTTTTTTATCCTTTGAATTTACAACTAGTTAAAAAAATTAAATATCTAATTTTTAGTTATTAAAAAAAATTTTATTTTTTACATTTTCAAGAGCTGTAAAGTGAATGCCTTCAAAAATATGATTTTATTTTTATAATTATTTGGAACACTCACCAGTTCTCTGGCCCAAATGCCCATCCACATCAGTCGGAGTTTAATGGAGCCTCTGAACATATCGTTCCTGAATCTTACGGGCATTCGTTATGATCACATCGACTTTACGGCCATCAATGCGATGCGGAATCTCAAATACATCATCTACGATCGGTTCTTTTACTGCTCTATGACGCCCCGGGTGAGGATGTGCAAGCCGTCCACTGATGGAGTCAGCTCCTTTCAGGATCTGCTGAGCAAACCCGTTCTCCGCTACTCCGCTTGGGTGATGGCCACACTTACGATTGCTGGAAATGTTTTGGTCCTTTGGGGACGCTTCATCTACCGGGACGAGAATGTGGCCGTGACGATGGTGATCCGAAATCTGGCCTTGGCTGATATGCTGATGGGGTTCTATTTAGTCACTATTGGAGTGCAGGACTACCGCTACCGGAACGAGTATTACAAGTAAGTTTTATCCGATTCTGTAGATATACTGTTCAGTGAGTTGATATCCTACAATACAATCTTCTAGGGTTGTGTTGGATTGGATAAGCTCATGGCAGTGCACAGTGATTGGAACCCTGGCCGTAAGCTCTTCGGAGGTGTCGATGCTAATCCTGGCCTTTATGTCGCTGGAGCGTTTTCTGCTAATCGCGGATCCCTTCCGTGGTCACCGCAGCATCGGAAGTCGGGTGATGTGGCTCTCGCTGATCTGCATTTGGATTACGGGGGTGGGCTTAGCTGTAGTACCAGTACTTCTGTGGCGGACGAGCACCCTGCCCTACTACGGATCGTATTCCGGGACCTGTAATAAATATTTGCATGAGAAAATAAATCTAAATAAGTAATGAAATTTAATATTACAGGTTTCCCACTACACATCCACGAGGCCTTTCCCATGGGCTGGCTTTACTCGGCGTTTGTATTCCTGGGCGTCAACCTCCTGCTGCTGGTCATGATTGCAATGCTCTACACGGCTCTCCTCATCTCGATATGGAGGACGCGGAGTGCTACTCCGCTGACTCTCTTGGATTGCGAATTTGCAGTGAGGTTCTTCTTCATCGTGCTGACTGATTTCCTGTGTTGGGTGCCCATCATCGTTATGAAGATCTGGGTCTTCTTCAACTACAACATCTCCGATGACATCTATGCCTGGCTGGTGGTCTTTGTGTTGCCATTGAACTCGGCGGTCAATCCACTTTTGTACACCTTCACCACGCCCAAGTATCGCAATCAAATCTTCTTGCGCGGCTGGAAAAAGATTACCTCTAGAAAGCGAGCGGAGGCGGGCAATGGAAATGTGGCCACCACTACGACGGGCACGGCTACGGGATCCTCCCAACATCCGGATGACTCCACAGCACTGGCCAAAGCCATGCCTTTAGCCCTTACGCTGTCAAACTGAAGGATTATTGTGGCGGAGATCGAACTTGTATACCATCAGATTTAGCAGCATTTATTTTGTCTATGATATCGAATATCTATTTATATGTGTATGTGAAAATCTATCCCTATTTGTGTAAGATAACCAAAGGAAAGTGTGAAATAAATTGAATGTGATATTTGTAAGGCAATCTAGGAGATTTCATAATGGGACTAAAAATAGATAATCGATTCCATTAGACATATGTGAACAGAAATTAGGGAAATATCAAGCATACTTGGCTAGATGCTTGAAATCCTTTTAATTAGAAGCTCCATCGGTTTTCTTTTTGCCACTGTTGTCTAATTGTTCATGACCTGTATAAACTTTCGCCATTACCAACTTGGAGCGCACCATGTGAAATTTGCGCATCTCCTCCAGGTCCTCCAATTCCACTACCATATTATGCTTACGTTCAAGGTGCGCTTTTAATCTGAAATAGAATTAGATATTATACATTTCATATTTTATTTGATTTCAGGAGGGATACTAACTTGTTACGAGCTGGAAAACTCTGCTGGCAGTGGGAGCACTCAAATGGCATGGCCGTATGGGTGCACTCGTGATTCCTAAGCGATGAAGACGACGTGAAGGACTTCTGGCAGTCGGGAAACTCGCAAATAAAGCGGGATCCCGTGTGCTTCACCTGCTGGTGGACAGTCAGATGGGAACGCTGGGCGAATCGACGATCGCAGAGATCACAGGCAAAGGGAAAATCTTTGTTGTGAAAGCGTTTATGAATTTCCAGGGCCTTGGCAATGGCGAACACCTTGCCACAGGTGTCGCAGCGGACTCCAGCTTGCCTATGCTTGGAGTCCACGTGTACTTTGAGTGCCTGTTTGGTGAGGTAGACCTTGTCGCACTGGCTACACTCGAAGTGTGGACGAGTGCCCAGGTGAATCAACTGGTGTTTGGCCATGCGGGAATGATTCTTGAAAACCTTGTGGCAGTATTTGCAGCTATATTCGCCCGAGTGGCGATGACGGGGCACGATGTCCTCCAAAGTGGCAAGGGCATTGGGGGATTCCGGGTCATGCTGGCCACCCTGCTTCTCTTCAATCTCCTCCAGAGGGAACTCCTTGCTCATATCCTCCTCATCCTCTTCCTCTGGTACCTCCTGCTCGGAACTTCTTGTGGACTCAAAGATCTCCCTCAGCTGCTGGTTGGCAATGGACACTTTCTTGTGGAAATCGTAGGCCCAATGCAGCTCCACGGCACATCGTTTGCACAAGGTTCTGGGCTCATGGCTGGGACTCTGGCGGAGATCCTCCTTGGAGCAGATCTCGTAACAGTCGTAGTAGCTGAGTTCCGCCTCCTGGTCATAGATGCTGGACATGTCCAGCATCTGGTTGGGATGGGGCTCCTCCAGACATAGTCGGCAGCAGTTGCTGAGCTCCAAAAATGAAGCACCTCCTGAAAATGAGACTTCTTGGGCAACAAGTTGATCCCGAACTGCGGTCGCTCTCTTTGTTATGGTGAAGGTAAGCGTTTTTCCCACTTTTATCTTTTGCGGATCCATCTGTGGAATGTTGATCATTATTAAATTGCTTAACTTACCTTAAATTACTGAATACTTGCCTGTTTGCACTTCAAAATCCCCGCTCAAAACACTAAATGCAAAGAAAAACTAAACATAGCTGCCACAGAGTTGCCACCTGTTCTGTAACAGTCTGGCAACGCCAGGGAGCGCTTAAATTTTTAAGAACTTTTTTGCTCCGCTGTTGTTGTGATTTTTTTGTAAATCCCCCGAAAATGGAGCAACATTTTGAGCCGGAGACGACCGTGAAAAGTACTGAAACGGATATCCTGCATCCCGACGACGCCCAGTACATTTGGCTGCCCTTTTCGGTGCTCGTTGGCATTTTTGTTCTGGCAGCCTTGGTGCGTTAAATTCCTTATCGCAGTCTGTTTGCTCAAGTGAATTTACATTTGTTTAATTTATGCATCTGGGTCTTCAAAGGTGTACGTCACGTCTCGTAGTCGCTGCCGGGTTTCCTTGGATTGCCTAAGACGCAGGAAGGCCCCGCGAAGTGGGTATATCAACGTTGACGAGGAGGATTCCGATGTGCCCATGGCCTGCGGAGATGAACTGGGGGATCAGCAGATTACAGCCAGCCTGCTCGCCGGCCGCCTGCACATTCAAGATGTAAGTAAAGCCTATACAATGACCTATTTCCCCTATAGCTTATCTTATCCACAGGAACCAAGTAACGCTTCCATTGCCTAGACATTCTTAAATTCCTTCCAAACACTTTATTGTCCACGTTGTATCCAAACGGTGGTTGTCCTCGACTAAGTTACTAGCAAACTACGTGCCTCTACTACAAGTACAACGAAAATAGCCCTAATTTTAATGATCCGTACTGGTTGCCCCCAGTATTCGCGTTGTCAGGTCGTAGAAACCAAAGAAGAATGCACCGCCCAGTGTGATCCACATCACCCGCGGCACAAAGCCAGCAAACAGACTGAAAAATAACATAAACATACATAAATAAATGTAAACATAATTATTAACCTATTTTTAGACTTGTTTATAAGGTAAATATTTACCCGCCAAATCCTCTCTCCAGATAAATGCCATGCAAAATGCTCCGGGCACTGCGACGTCGGTTAAGACTCTCCCTTTCGGCCAGCATGATTCGGGTCTTGACCACATCGAGTGGTGTGGTTAAGCCCGCGGAAATGCCACCAGCGACGGCTCCACAAAGGGCCACCGACAGGGGAGTGGATTCGTAGCCGGTTAGGGGAGTCCACTGCAGCTTGAAGTACTCCCAAAGGGGGAACTGTATCAGACTGAAGGGGATCTCCCGCATGATGGTGGAACCGAATCCCCGATAGAGACCGCGTTGCAATCCCTCGGTGCGATAGGCCCTTAGCAGGATTTGCAGGCCGGACTGTTTGTTGCCCAGCAATGTTTGAGAGCGCTGTTTGGCAATCTCCACGGGAACGCGGATCAGGCAAGCCAACTAAGGGATATGGAAATTTGTTAGCTCTATAAACAGAGTAAGGAGTATCTAGGTAAATCCCACCACTTCTGCTGCTGAAGCCGCTGCCATGTGAACATAGGGCGAATCTTTGGTTTGGGTGAGCGAGCTGAGAAACTGCTTCCCGCACTCGTAGGTGCAGAAGAACAGGGCCGCCGTGGGAGCACTTCCCGCAGCCGCAGGAGCCAGTCCCTTATAGATGCCCCTGAAGCCTCCTGCCCGCCAAAAGCCCAACTCGCTCTGCAGGCGGGTCTTGACCGTATCTATGGGAAAGAGGGCAATGTCCACCACCATGCCAGCCACGCCTCCAGCCTGTAAGATCTTAGTTTAAGATATTGATTCTCATGTAAATATTGTAGGTACTCACCACAAGGGCATGTAAAAATTTCAATTTGTTGACCGGCTCCTGCATGCCGATTTCCAATGACCCTGCGGCCGAATCCAGACCTAGCTCCGCTGCCATGTCCTAGAAGTTTGGTTTATACACCCAGTTTATGTCATGCCGCAAGAGTATTTGTTTAAACTAATTTAATAAACAAAAATATAAAATGTGGTTGTTAACGTAACAGTCAGCTGGTTTTAAATGGTCCGGCAACGCCGCGCACCACAGCTGATTGCTGTAGAGTTGTCAAGGTTTTCAAAAAAAAAACAATTTTTTAACCTTTAAAAATATAAATATTTTTTTACAGATTTTTCTTAAAAAATATTCAAATTTAATAGACTTTTATAATAATATTTAATTTTGAAAAATTGTACACGTAATGTAATACCACCCATATGTACTTGACAACCCTAGATTGCCGTCGTTCTTGGGAAGAAGAAGAGGAACAGCAGCACCTATTTGGCCAAGTGGAATAAAATTGGCCGTGATTTAACCGATATTGAAAGCTCGGCAGCAGCATTAGAAACAAATAAACCCAGGATCGAATCATGGCCCTTCGCTTGTCCCAGAGACTGCTGCAGACGCAGACGCCGTTCCTCACCCGCGTACGTTTTCTCGGCCGGGAAATTGGCCAACAAATAGAAATTACATAAGAAATTACGCGGCGGGCAGATTCTACAGATTGTCTTTAACTATTCCCATTGTAGGGCTACCCGCTGCTGGTAACCAAGGAGAAGTCCGAGGATGTGGCCCACACCAAATCGGCGCTGCAGAAGAAAGTCACGGTGAGTCTGGCCACTGGAACTACTGCCCCCCAAGTGAGGTTATAGCATCCTTATATATCTTCGTGGACAGGGCACCGACATCCCCTCGGCACAGTACGGAGGTCGTCATGCAGTCACCATGCTGCCCGGCGGCGGCATCGGTCCGGAGCTGATGGGCTATGTGCGCGAGATCTTCCGGTACTGCGGTGCCCCCATTGATTTCGAGGTGATCGACATCGACCCCTCCACCGAGGGCAACGACGATCTGGACTACGCCATCACCTCGATCAAGAGGAACGGAGTGGCGCTCAAGGGCAACATTGAGACCAAGTCGCAGACCTTGTCCGAAGTCTCGCGCAACGTGGCCATCCGCAACGAGCTGGATCTGTACGTGAATGTGGTGCACTGCAAGTCGTATCCCGGCATCCCGGCCCGCCATCACGACATCGACGTGGTGCTCATCCGCCAGAACACCGATGGCGAGTACGCCATGTTGGAGCACGAGTCTGTGCCCGGAATTGTGGAGAGCATGAAGGTGGTGACCGTCGACAACGCGGAGCGTGTGGCCCGTTATGCCTTCGAGTATGCCCGCCAAAACAATCGCAAGAAGGTGACCACCATCCACAAGGCCAACATCATGAAGCTGTCCGATGGTCTCTTCCTGGAGGTCGCCAACCGGGTGCACAAGGACTATCCCGAGCTGGAGCACAACAACATGATCATCGACAACACCTGCATGCAGTCTGTGTCCAACCCGCACCAGTTCGACGTCATGAACATGACCAATCTGTACGGCACCATTGTGTCCAACGTCCTCTGTGGCCTGATGGGAGGAGCTGGCCTCATCTCCGGCAGGAACTACGGTGATCATGTGAGTACCTCTCCCTTATACCAAACATATCACCCTTCATGTTCCCTATATCGGTTTCAGTACGCCATCTTCGAGCCGGGCACCCGTAACACAGGAACCGCCATTGCCGGCAAGAACATCGCCAACCCGGTGGCCATGATCAATGCCAGTGTCGACATGCTGAACCATCTGGGCCACAAGGAGCACGCCAATGTCATCCAGGAGGCCGTCTACCAGACCATTGTCAACGATGCCATTCGCACGCCAGGTAATCATCCCCCGTAGCGTTCTTTCCCAACAGAATCATTTACATCATCTTCGTAACTTGCAGATGTTGGCGGCACCCACTCCAGTACCGATGTGGTTGAAAACATACTCAAGATCTTGAGTGCCAAGCGCGTGAATTGGTAAAATAATCGTCTGCATTTAGAGTAGCTTATATGTTCTTTTATCGCGCTGTCACAACCGAGTGTTGTATTTTCTATTTAGTTTTTAAACAAACAACCATCTATCGCTTGTCCCCCTTCTACTGTTAACTGTTGCGATGGGTTCTGCCTAAGAGAACCTTGTATTATTATTTCACGCTCTGTTATTGTATTATTTTAATTACTTACTGATTACTTTAGCAGAACTGTAAGTGTTATTGCCAAAAAAGGCCTAACTGTGTCTCTAACCAACCAGCACACCCACAGACTACACTTAACAACTAACTTTTTGGTTTCTTTACAACTGTATTGGGTTATTTTACTGTAAGCAATGGAAAATAACTTGTTACCAAGTGACTTTAATCTGTTTATGGATTATTTTCCGGTCTCTGTCTACAAAATTGGCGTCCTATTTACCAATTGCTTTGTTGAAAAATTTCTGTTGTATATTTGTTTTAAGTAGTCCTCCAGTAGATCACACCACCACACACACATTCAGTACACAAGTATGTAGTTTTCGTTTTGAACGTGTAACCAAAATGTCCTTGTCCAGCTCTAATCAACAAAATTATTCTGTTTTCTCTCCTTTCCCCGAAAACCCAAAACGCTTTACCGCTCCGCAGGCCACATGGAAACTATTTTAGCCAAGTTTAGGCTCTCTTGCACTACCGAAACTCAACCAACTGCTAACAAACTCAGCAAGATAAACCAAATCGAACCAAGTCTAATACCAAACCAATCAAAATTATATTAACCCACAAACTAAGCCAATTCGAGACGCCTTGTACCCCAAGCCAATGCATTCAGCCAAATGTGATGCCCAGAAAAAAAGAATCGCTATAATCAAATCGAGGTCGAATTGTTCCGCTGCTTAACCCAAACAAAATATGATATGTTACCCCGGCTAAATGTCCATTGTGTGTTCATTCGATGTCCAAGTGTGATAATTCAGGTAATACAATACTCCAAGTATAATTCAGTTTTATAAATCTTGAGCCCCTTGAATTGAAACTAATAAAGTATTTTCTTATATTTCACAGATTTTCTTGCCGGCCCTATCCAATGTTTCTTCACTCTGGTTCTTTTTTTATTCCCTTCCAAGAGATACATTTTCTTTTTTTAACTTTCTATCCAAAATACCCTAAGGCAACAGTTTATGTACAACAAGAATAACACACATTGCGCTCTTAAAAAGCCAAGCAAGTTTCCAAAAATAGTCAAAGCGATATAAATTGTAATTTTAAATTTTCCAAAAGAATTGTAATATTGAGAAGTTGATTCAAACAAAATGTATTATTCTGTTCGAATATTTATTAGAAAAAGACACTGTATTTACTAATGTTTTCGATTGGGCGGGAAAAATAATGGGCATTTAGTGGGATACTAGAATTTGCATTATTGATAAACGAATATTACCAATTGGGAGTTTTGAAAAATATCTAAATTTTAGAGCATCCATTTATAGACGTATATGAAGACACCTTTTGATAACTCGGATTCAGATAGGAACATCAGTTTTCATGCTTTTCCAACTTTATCACATGGGTATATACATAGTTCCATAGGCACATGCCCCACTTGAACACACAGAATGAAGGCACAGTTTTTCACTTCGGTCAGTTTTATCAGAATTACTTCTTTGTTTATTAAACCTTAAAAAGAGCGATAATCCAGTAACCACGGGTAGCAAATGGATAGCTTAGAAACGCAGCTTCTGGAAGAACCACTTGTTCTTGCCCTCCTTGTAGACGGACTCGAACTTGACGCGGGTCTGGAAGCGGTGCGTCTTGCGCTTGACGGGATCCTTCAGGTCCTTGGGCGACAGCTTCTCGAAGCTGATGTCGTGCGCGGTGTAGCGGGTGGGCATCAGATGGTTGTAGTTCAGGCTCTTCAGGAAGGGCTTGACCTTGGACTTCTTCTTCAGCTTGTTCTTGCCCATCTTCTTGGTCACCTTGCGCGGGTAGCGGTCGATGCCGGCGACGAGAGCGTGGCCGAAGGGCTTCTCAGGGGTGCCATCGTCGGAGGTCTTGACGATGATGGCCTTGCGACCGGCGTAACGTCCGCTAAGGACGATTACGATCTTGCCCTGCTTCATGATTTTCCTCATCTTGGCGGCTTGCTCTGTAAATCCGTTGTTTTTGTTTGTAGAGTGCATGAAATGGGATGAAAAATAACAAATTGTTAGTAAATTTATCAACAAATGAGTAGTTAAAATGTATATATAAGTCCCGCCAAAATATATAGTAATATCCGTTGATATGGGAAGATAGGTGCCTTGAAGTTAAATTATTCCTATGGTAAGTTGAGATCTTTGGAGGAATCTATAATACAGCAGCATGAAACCAAAATATGTCCCCAACAAACACGTTTTCAGCTAGTAAGCCGGATGCTTTGGGGGGCATCCTATTATGTATATTATTATCTTTAAAAACACTGAATTTATCCGAACTGACATTTGTGGTCCCTATGAAGTCTAAAGATGTGGTCAAACAGACCATGCGGAATGTTACATGCATAAATTGTTGGGATTTTTCATAGGGACAGATGAGCATTGCCAACGGCGAATCTTTGAATCTGCTTTATAGGGTCGGAATCAGAACGTTTTTTGCGTTTTATATTAAAATACACTTAGCGAGGGCATAGTTTCCATAATATACACCACTCACAGTCCTAACGAATCACAGAAAAAGATATTTTGGCTAAAATTTAACTAAATTTACACGCGGAGCACACCACTCACCGGAAACGGGCGAAAAGAAAAGAAGGGGAGATTTTAGAGCTGGGAAATACTCGTTTTTTTTCGATAACAACGCGAAGATGCGGTCACACTTTGCGCATTGCAGGTTATATTTAGAATGAAAAGTGTGGTCACACCCGCTTAGCAAGTACACACACCAACAATCGATATGTTGTGGATATTTTTGAAAAACCATCAACGGTTATCACCCAACAGTTTTAAAGTTCCTGAGTTAAAACACTCAGATTTGTTAACAAAATAGATTTATTTAATTTTAGATGGTAATCATTTAGAAAACACAATACATACTAGTCATTGCTTAAGGAGAGTAACTACTCCTTGTAGTTTTCGGATATATGTATATCGGAAATGCCCGGTCCTACGTCTTTTTCTGGATTATCTTAAATGTATTACGCCGATTCAGTACGTAGCTGACGGCAGTGGCAGCCGTAGTTAAGCCAGTTAGATACCAAAGGCCCTGCAAGGCGGGATGATCTGTGGCAGGATGGTAAAGATTTGATTATTCTATATTGTTTATGGATGAGTATTATATCTCACCCAAATAGTTCCAAATTGGAGCCCCCAAACTGAGACCAATGGTGGCCAACTGCACGCCCGTATTGATTTTGCTGAGGAGCGTGGGCTCCAGCTGAGCAGTAACACGAGTGGCATCGAAATAGCGCGAAAAGGTTTTCTAAGGAAGATTTAAAAATGTTAATGAGTGACTAAAAATTAAAAGGAATCTTTAACTTACCGGCGGTGGCAGACTTATGTAGCGAATAACAAATCCAGCTCCCAGGAGGAACACATCCCGGAAGACCACGATTCCGGCGAGCCACATGGGCAGCAAATCTGTGTAGCACAGAGCGATGACCAGCGAGCCCATCAGCAACTTATCGGCCATGGGGTCTAGGAAAGAGCCGAACTTGCTCGCCTGCGAGGGCCAACGACGGGCGATCTGGCCATCCAACTAGGGGGAAAGAAAACAGATTTTAATATATGTAAAAACACTTTTCTTTAGAATCATCTGCACGTTTGAGCCGTTTCAGGAAATATTTGAATCATTTCAGAACATATTTGCTAGCAGAGAGGCAGTAAGTATATGTGGCTATTTTGTTAGGATAAACAAACTATTTTTGGAACTGAGTATAGTGCATTGTTTCTATTTAAATTGTATTATATGTATTTGATTGTTGAAATAAACACAGGCGGGCAGAACACAAATCAATAAATGATGCCAAAATGTACGCCGCAACCTGTTTTGTCTTGTGTTTACTATTCCCTTTCAAGAAATTTCGACGGTTTTGACATAGTTGTTATACAATATTATACAGAAGTACCTAAATAAATCCGACCCCAAGAAACTCACCAGATCCGTGACCCCAGCGAAGGCTAGAAGGCTCATTCCGAGAGTGAAATCCCCTTGGACGATCACATATCCTATGTAGGGGGAGAGGACGGCACGGCTAATGGTTAACATGTTGGGTATGGTCATGATATTCTCCCGCTCCTCGCGGATCTCGTCGATCTTCTCGCGCACTCGCTCCTGGACCTTGTGCCTCGCCTCCCGGATGTCATCAACCAGGAAGTTCTTCCTCTCGATGACGCCCTGCAGAAGGTGGCGTCCCTGCAGGGTGCGCAGATGGAGCGACTGCTTCTTGGCATCGGCATAAAGCCGGAGGCGGGCCAACTCATAGTTCCGCCGCCGCTTGATGTCCAGGAACGAGATCCGAATGAATCCCGTGGCGGCGGCATAGCGATTCAGGCAGTTGACGAAGCTACTGCCGCCGACGCCCAGGACGTGCTCCAAAGTGGCGGCTCCATGATGCAGTGGCCGCTGCACCTGCCGGAAAATGATGGCGGGCAGCATGGGGTTAATAGACGTCCGATCCCAGTCTCAAGTTCAGACTCTTTTTCGGGCTCTGCAATCACAAATAAACCCCACAATCAGTTCCAATTTATTGAGATCCGTAACCTTGACTCCAAATAGATCGGCCGCCGACCCTTGGACGTCGTTATCACCGGTCAAACAACCCACCATTTGTCGGGGATCCTTTTCCACCAGTTGCCCCTGGGTGCAATACAAAATCTGGTTCAATATTCAATTACTAATTAATCAGTCCACGGCATTTACGGAAATTTTAACACAATTTTGTCTTGTTTTTATTACACAAGTCGGCTCCGATAACACAATCGACACGGCGATGACAATCGACAATTGATAAGGCGCCGATAACTCCACGTGACTGCCAAAATGCACTAAATAATGCCCGTGTAACGCTTTTTTGAATTTCTCAGTTCAATTTATTTCCAATTTTTATTTATTCAACTGTTTTTATAGTGATTAATTATAAATTATCCGGTCAGTTTCGATATAAATTCGGGCTTCACCATTTATATTCAACCAATTTTATTGTAATGCACACGTTTTTTATAATAGCGCTATACACCCAATCATTTTGGGTTCCTATAAGGTTCCTATAATTTCAATGAGGATACTCAGGAATAAACTAACATGATTTATAAAAAAAATTTTCGTTAAACTATTTTAAATAAAAAAATAGTTTCTTCGTTATTGTTTTCTACGCTGAATCTTTGTATGTCTATTTAAACAAGTTTGAAAACAAGTTATGAAATTAATATTAAATAAATGAAATTAATGCTATTGTCTTAAAAACAATCGTATGTGTAACGTCATCTAAAAGTACACTTTACAACACATCAACATGATTTATTTTACATGCTGGCCCCATATAATTCTTAGCATTTGGATCAATATTTAGAGCTCACGGGCTATTTTTAATTTATTAACATTTTCCCGAATGAGGCTAGGTCCGGCTTGGCATATATTTAATGAAGCCACCATTAATAAGCCGGACCGCAAGCTGCTCTGGACTTGTCAGTCGTTTAATTGGATTAAATTTAATTACACTGCCACTTAACCCAGGCAAAAGCTGCTCGGCGGCCGTCTGGGATATGGAAATTAAGCCGCGGTTACCGTTTATTACTTAATATAAACTTTGGCAGTGGCTCGACCATGACCTGACCCTATCAGCTGGCTAATGAATTTTCCCGAAAGTTGCCAGGCCAAATCTGTTCCACGTTTAATGGCCACAATTACGGACATGCCTTCCTAGTTAGTGAAAGCATAATTATGAAAGACTGCCAGGTTGCATTTTTGCCAAGGCTGGCACAAAGCAATCTTTTAGAAATATATATATCTCGTTTATGGGTTGGGTCATTATGTCACGTCCTGGGCATCATAGTAATTAAAGGTGGGGGACAAGGCGATGACACTTACCGGGAATTTTCCCCCGGGCATCGAAGACAATGCATCGGCATTAATAATGAACTGCAGGCCGAGGTGTTCGGGTCCAATAATGTCCATGGCATGTCAGCCGTCAGTCTGCATGTTAATTTCCAGAAACCACCTTCCATTTTCCCGATTTTCTGAATGACACTCGGGGCTACTCAGTAGCTGTCTGCCATAAACAGGAAGCTCCAGCAGGGCGGGAAATGCGGAAAATGCGCGCCTGCGGAAGAGATTGACAACTTTTTGTGATGCCCTATCTGGGGGGAGTGGTCTTGACAGCAGGAGTCTTTTGAAACTTTTTAAGTATCCTAAAGGCAATTGAAAACAAAAACATGTAGCATTGAGAGTTAAAAGATGTAAATAATAAAGTTAATTAGATTATATTTGTAAAATTCTTTATCTTAACTCTGGAATAGTATAAATAAATAATTTTTATATTACATTTAATTTTTGAAATAAATAAAAACATAATCCATTGCATGATTTGCCCTAACAATTTTGTAGTTTAATGATAAAGACTTTCAGTTTGAAAGCAAGGTTTAAAATCCTGAAATGTAATCCTTCCATACTTAAAATTAAAACGTTTTTTATCAGGAAAGAACGTTTTTTAGTTTAATCTACAAAGCGTTGTAAATGAAATAATAATAACCCATTTTTCAGGGAAAAACTATCCCTTTGCAAAGGGAATTTAAGCTTGGTGTTCGATTTTTGCCCTGTCCCTCCGTTGCCTTTTATAATTTTTATTTGGTTCTTTTTTTGCGCGCCTCATTGCGCTTCATTAATCAAAAGTAATTTTCCGCCTTTCACAGCAGTCGGCGCCCAACACCACCCCCTGATTTCACCTGGCGAATTTTACCGAGTGAAGATGGCAAACGTCAGCAGCGAAGGCGGTGGAAACCGGAAAGGAAATGGCTGGAAGGGAAAAAACAAAATGATGGCGGCCATTTTGCATTAAGCCAGGACATTTGCCGTATGTGTGTGTGTGTGGGTGAGTGGGCTAATTAACTGTTTTACATTAAGTGGCCATAAAGGCAGCCGAACGGCGGGCATTTTAGTCTATTTTAATGCCCTTCGAGTGGCCAGCGGGCGTGATCGACT